GCAATCACAAAAGCAGGCTTGAATAAGAGCCCGGTGTCGTCTTACTTGCTTGCACTCCCTTGCCTTCTGTCACGGCATGATAGCTCAGGAAGACACTAACACTTGGATCTTTTACTTCCCAAGCTTCAAAAACTGTGACAAACATATTTCTTTTATGAATTACCTAATTTGTGCAATTTTTTCATGCAAAATGCATTGAGACACCTCCTGAACCCTCCTAAGACTGGAACCAAAAAAAACCCCTCCACTTTTTCCATTTTACTAGAGACTCTAGTCTATGCAAGAAGGCAAAAACTGTCATGCAGACGACAATGGGAGAAGTAAAATTCTCTTTTCTCATAGAGGACAGAAAATGTAAACCTGTAGTAGCTTTGTTTTCTGACTTGCCTCTCTTCCTTTGTGACCTTGGAACCATTGCTATCTGGGGCCAGGATTTATGGGTGGCCATCATAATGTGGTTCTGATTAAGAGAGTTATTTTCTGCAAATTAGGACCTTAGTTCTTAGGAATGATTTGGAGCTATATTTGTCTGCGGAATCAACTTGCTTAACTCTATTCCAAGTCAGATGGAGGGTAGACCCCCTTTGTTCTTGAGTTATTTCATTACAATGTTCTCCTAAAAATGTCACCACTTTCCGTAGGAATTGCTCACATTGTTATTAGTTGCTATCACTGAGTTTTGTTTTTTCTGGAAAGAAGTCTGTAATCCATGTAAACAGTCAGTCCTTCTCGTTGTCCATTTCCATCCCATCTCTCACCTGCTGCAGCTTCTTGGCATAGAGAAGGATCCCCTGAATAGCTACTGAGTAAGGAACTGGGAAAGTAGACAGTAAAAAATATTGATTCTATCTGAAAACTAGAAGAAACAAACTGATACACATGATAGAAGTCCATATGTAAGGAAAAATCAAAGCTCGGAATGGCAACAAACACTAATGGATACATCCTGATGAAAGTATAATATGAACTGAATGGCCTATGAAACCCAGGATTAGATTGATGGTGATAGAATTGTCTTACCTACGTATTGCATGCCCTAATTTTCTCAGCTAACTTCTTATTACTGGATAATTCCTTTGCTTCAGTTTTTCAGGATCTTAAACAGTACTATTAAATAAAATCTATGCACACATTATTTCACGCTTAAATTTTGCTAGCCACATGTAATTTTTAGTTGACATATTAAAAAATTGTACTTATTTTATCCTATCGAATTGAAAGTAACAAGTAATATCATTGAACAAAACTCCTGGAGTTTTAAATCTCTGGCAATTCTGACTGTGTTCCCGTAGGATAAGTGGACTCTGGGGTCAAGCAGGGAATCCAGAATAGTCCAGAGGTATGTGTGTGGAACAATAACATCATCTACTAAGTCACATGATGAATGTAGTAGCTTCAGTGAATATATTTGCAAGATTATATTTATTCTACCAGTTAAAGTTCATTTAAATGGGTTTTTTCACTTTCCTTTTGTTATTCTCCTTTCATTCCACATTTAAATTTCTAAAATTTTTGGCAAGCACAGCAATTTCTAATCACTCATCTCTCATAGAAAGCACATCATCATGAATTATAATTTCAGATTTTTCCGTGCCTGAAATTGCCAATTTCATATTTGCATCTATGCACTAGTATTAAGATTAGCATAGTAAATCACATTATTGACAGAAATGGGCCACATTATCAAAAATGTGTGTTGTTTTTGCTGCTGTTTGTATTTCAGTGTCTTTTCCAAGACACCATTTCAGGAAAATGAGGTAGTAAACAAAGCAACTGTGGATTCTGTGGTAACATGTTGAAATGTTTTCAATTCATTCAATTCTTTAGCACCTAATGTGAGTTGACATGTTAAATTATTTGCCATCATTTCCCTTGTTTTATGCCCGTGGCCTCCTGTAGGACCTGGAACACCCAAAAGAGCAAAAATCACCTTGTAATAAGTTATCTTTGTGAAATCAGGAAACTCCAGGACACAATAACTTAAAAATAGACTATCTCAAATTAGGCTATTTACATCAGAAAATCTTTCTCGATGAACAACAAGATAAAAATAGCACACCTTGACTATTCATAGTCTTTATGGTGGGACTTTCCCAGAGTGTAGTAGGTGGCCTTTGGTAAACCCAGTGATAATTACTCTTAACTTCTGTGGTTCCAGGTCAGGTGAGGGACCTGTACTCTGTGGGCCAATCTCATTTCATCATAAACTGATATGAGAGGATGGCCAGAACAGGAAGGTGACAAATGGTGACCTGCAGCTCCACAATCCACCTAGTAAGTCTACACCAAATGTTCTGTCATCTGCACTAGGACCATTTCCAAAGACAGATTCCAAAGCACTATATTTAAAAATTCCATATGTATCTCCCCAGGAGAAATCCATTGTTTAGTCATTGGGAGGAAGGGCGTTCAGGTTATGTAGGCTTCCTAGCAGTCTTGGTGTCATACAGAAACCTCGTCTCTGTCCTAATAAAACAAATATTTCAGCACAATTTGCACCTGACATTCTAAGAGGAAAGATTACCAGTAAATATACTGACATACACGGGATTATTAATTAAATAAATCTGTCAACTGTGCTTTTCTTCAATGCGGTGAGATGGAATCTATGGAGATCCCAGTGCTTAGTATTCACTCCCTTGTTTAATCCAATCCCTTGCATGAGCTAGTTTACCAACTTGCTTCTAACTAATGGACTACTTCAGTGTTGAAGAGATTTCAATTCTATAACTAGTTATAAAAGATTCTAGCATCCATCTATTTAATGCACTCCCCACTTTGCTCGCATGGAAAGCTTTTAAGGAGCTGACAGTGGCCTCTAACGAATAGCTCAGAACTGAGAGCCCCAATCAAACATCCCAAAAGGAGCTAAATGCTGTCAACAAGCATACAGGTGGTTTTGGAAGCAAATTTTTCTCTATCAACCCTTTAGATCAGACTCCACCCTGGTTGATATCTTGACTAAAGCCTTGCCAGAGAATCCAAAACACAGTACTCACACAAGCCACACCAGGGTAACTATCAAGTAATAAATACAACACCAGTCTTAAGTTTCTAAGCATGCAACCATTTGTTCCTGTAGCAAGAAAGTAATGCACACAGCATAAAGAAAACCCTTAAAAATCAGTAAGAAAAATGCCTGAATAGAAAAGAAAATAAATGGTAAAAGATAAGTGGCAATTTAACAAATAATATATAGCAAAGCTTCGAAATATTTAATTTTTTGACTCCTAATTTCCTTTCAGAATATGAATCATGTCTGAAGACAAGACCTAGGTTAATACTTCAGAAAATTTCTCTAGAGAAAAGATTTATTTTGACTTCAAACCTGGAGGTCCAGATTCCAAGACTAAGTGACTGCCTTAGTGTGTCATCTGGTGACAGAAGCTGGTGGACAGAGGATACCACAGTGAGTTAGAAAAGAGAGAGACATCTGAGCATGGTCATCCACAATCATCTGTGTGTCTTCATAAAGCCACCATGAAATCTTCAACAAATGGTGGGGGCAAAACCCTATGTATATGTAGAATATGAAAATAGATCCCTACCATTCACCACGTACAAAAAACAACTCGCAATGGATCAAAGACTTAAATGATTTGAACAGTGCTGAATCTTAGCAGTCTGATCCAATTCAATCACTTACCATGCTATGCAACAACCACCATGATCACTTATAGCCTACACCATAAACCATCAGATTGTCAGCATTCATCCAATAACTGTTAGAGTAAGATTTGAGGATTTAAGTATTTGTAGAAATTTGGGGAGCCAAAATCTGCTCAATCCTTAATAATTTATCTGATTAGAGAAATAACCCAAGATGCTTTCAAAGCATTCTTGTGTTACAAGTATCTCACTAATACAGGGGATTTCTTTTCTTATGAAAATGGCATTGAGAGTCGGATAATTCAGATGTTGTATGGGAGCTCCCATTAAGGCGACAGCAGTAAAGACCTTTTAATGTTTCTACTTTGCTATCCTGGAAGCATTTGGCTTTCATCCTCAAGGTCACCTCATGATCGTATGATGACTTCTGGAGCTTGAACCATTATTTTCTCTGTTCAGACATCAAAAGTAGAAGAGAGTTAAATGGCACTTGACAGCTTGAATCTCTCTAAAAGGCTTCTTCGAAGGCCACTCAATGTCCATTTACCACCAATTTTCTGCAAAAGATACTGTGGATGATAGTATTTTAGTTGAGTACATGGCCACTCTCAGTATGTTTGGGGATATCAAGCAGGGTCGGGTCAGAATGTAAAAAAACAGCCCAGATGTTCAGATAGGGAAGTCTTTACATAGAAGTATTATTTCTAAACAGAGGGTGATTGATTATCCAGGGCTCTGGAAGTAGTAGATGCAGACTAACAGCTTTTCATCTCAAGCTAAGAAATAATGGTAAAAAAAAAAAAATGAGGAACCAAGGAGTAAGAAATTGTCTTGTCCTAAGGCTGAGATTCATAGATCTCATAGAAAAGAGCGTGGCTGCCACAGGACACACATATTCTACCAGAAGCAACCGAGGCAGGGAACACCAGCCAGCCCTGATCTGTGTAAGTGGCCCAGGAGTTCTGAGAATACAGCACGCATGCAGATGTTCTGCACAAGTGTCCCACGGTTAAAAGATGCAGTGGACCATCAGAAATGCTTTGTAAAGTAGTGTGCTGTTGCCAGTTTCTCGGGCATAGCTAGGTGGAGGGGCAGATAAATGCCAGCCAGGCTGGATGAAGTCACAGTGTTGTCAAAATGTCTCCCTGATTTCCGGGTTTCTTATTCAACCAACTATTTCTTTAGTTGTATTAGTCCTGCCACATCCTAGTTTCTAATGTCATTCTGTAGAAAGAATTGATGGTCTGATCTTAACAGGACATATGCTACATGATTCCAAAGCATTTCGTAGTGCCTAGAAAAGTAAATGCTCAAAAATTAAGTGCTCTGCCTTGAGAAAGAGGGACAGAGAAAGAGAGAACCACTTTGACAGACTATAACAAAAATTAACTGTGTTCGCTTCGGCAGCACTGATATTAAAACTGGAACGATACAGGGGTTAGCATGGCCCTGCGCAAGGACGACACGCAAATTCATGAAGTGTTCCATATTAAAAGTAAAAAAAGGAATCAACTGAAAGAACTTCCACCAAGCAAAATGGATTAATTTGAGCAGAAAATGAAGTAAAATAGTATTGCACTGTAACCCAAGGTATAAAATAGATGCGTACAAGTCCATGAAGTGATAGATGGCAAAGGTCAACATCAACAGTGACAGGTCTGCATACCTTTGATATGATGATACACCTTAATGGTCATTACTCCAAGACCCATTATCCCAGAGCAATCATGAAATCACACTCAAGGGGCATTCTGTAAATCATCATACCATATTTCTCCTAACTGGTAAGATCATCAAAACCACAAAAGCTGTGACATCCTGTCCCCATGTAGAGAAGCCTCCACGAACATGATGCTAAATGCAGTGTACTCCCCTACACTGAATTCTCAAACATAAAAAATGCATTAAATAAAAGCAACAGATTTGAAAAACATATGGACTTAAGGCAGTGTAACAAGCTAATGTAAAAATGTTAATAATAAAAAAAATAGTGAGTATAAAGGATATGAGAACATTTAATGTATTTGAAATATTTCTGTAAATTAAGAATGGTTCTAAGAAAAAGAAACTGCTATAAAAATGGGTCTTCAGGCTGAGGCCCCCCCCCTGTGCGGCCAGCATCGCATTAAGGCCCCACTGCTCCACTTCTGATTCATCATTGCTAATGAATGACTGGGAAAGTAGTGGAGGTTACGTGTTTGGGTCCCTCCACCCGTGTGAGAGATGGGAAAGGGGATCCTGACTCCTGGCTTCAGATCTGCCCAGATTCAGCCATTGCTGCATTGAGGAAGTGACCCAGTGAACAAATAAAGTTCAATTCTCAAGGTAAACATATAGTCAAAGCCAGACTTCTTTCATGTTAAAATGGTGACACACAAATGACTTTCAACTCCAATAAAAACTTTAGAAAATAGACGAATTAAAAAATAACTACAGTTGTGTGTTTATGGGTCCAAAATATATAAAGATGTAAATTGTAAAATTAGTAACTTAAAATATGAAGTACTGGGAAATTACATCACAGTTTTTTGTATGTAATCAAAGTTAATGTCTACTTAAAATAATAACATTTAACTTCATCATATTTTCTATGAGCCTAACAGTAACCAAAAAGGAAAAATTTGTAGTAGATATACAAGATTAAGAGAAGTAAATAAAAATATACAACTGCACAAAGTCTTCGAATTATAAAGGTCAAAAAAGAGAGCAAAGGAATTGTAAAAACAGAATAACTAACAAAATGAAGATAGTGCATTCTCACCTGTCAACAATATACTAAATGAAATTAGGCTAAATTATTCAGTCAAAATGCATATAGTGGTTGTATAAACTTATGCAGCTATGTCAGAAACTACTATAATTAAATAACAAAAAGCAAATAATTTGATTTAAAAAGTGGGCAAAGAACTTGAATGAATATTTCCCCAAAAGAGTGTACACGACTAGCTGGCAGGTGTATGAAAAAATGTTCAACACCACCAGTAATCCGGAAATGGAAGTTAGCCACACTTGGATATTATCTCACTCCTGTTGCAATAACATTACCAAAAAGCAGTGAATAACAGTGTTCGGTAAAGGTGAAGGAAATCAGAATCCTTCCATTATTTTTTAAAGATTTACTTTTCTTTAAAAGATGAGTTACTGAAAAACAGAGAGAGGTCTTTGTTGGGTTGCTCCCCCAAATATTCTCAATGTCAGAGCTGGGCTGGTCTAATGCAAGAAGTGTGGCGCTTCTTCCAGGTCTCCCTCATGGTGTCAGAGGTCCAAGCACTCGGACCATGCTCCACTGCTTTCCAAGGCATGTCCATTAGCAAATAACTGGACTGGAAGTGGAGCAGCCAGGACTTAAACTGGCACCCATATGGTATGCCAATGCTGCAGGCAGTGGCTTTACCCACTGTGCCACAGTGCCAGCCCCAAGAATTGAAACTCTTTTATACTGTTGGTGAGAATGCCAGATGGCACAGCCATGGTAGAAAGTTGTAAGAAAGTTCCTCACAAAATTACACACTGAGGTACCATATTTTTGCACCAACAACTCTGCCCATGAATATTAACCTCGAGTTTGAGGAGATCTTTGTACATTCATGTTCACTGCAGCATTAAACAAAAGCCAAGATGAGAAAATGACCTAAATGTCCCTCAACAGATGAGCGGGCAGTGCCTATAGCAGGACATTACTCATCCTTAAAAAGGAAGGAAATCTGGGCCCTGTGCACTAGTTTAGTGGCCAAATCCTCACCTTGCATACTTCAGGATCCCATATGGATGCCTGTTCATGTCCCAGCTGCTCCACTTCTCATCCAGCTCCCTGCTTGTGGCCTGGAAAAGTGGGAGAGAATGGCCCAAAGCCTTGGGACCCTGCACTGGAATGGAAGACCTAGAGGAGCAGCTCAGCTCCAGGCTTTGCAGCCACTTGGGAAATGAACCAGCAATGGAAGGTCTTTCTCTCTGTCTTTCCTTCTCTCTGTCCATCTGCCTTTCCAACAAAAATAAAGTCTTTTTGAAAAAAATTTTTAAATGAAGGAGATCCTTTCATGTGTGACATATGGATGGATTTGAGGACAATACAGTCACTGAAAAAAGGCATCCAATCTAGTCAAACTCACAGGAGAAAGTAGAAGGGTGTTTCCAGGGCTGGAGGAGGGGAAATTGGGAAGTCTGTCTGATGGCTATAGAGTTTGAATTACACAAGACAGAAGGTCTAGGGGCAGGCACTGAGCCCCGTTAGACCTCAGCGGGACGCCCTCATCCCACACTGGAGTCCTAGGCTGACTTGCTCCATTTCGCCTGGGAGAGGCAGCAGGCCTAGCATGGTGATATAGCAAGTTAAGCCACTGCCTGTAACACCAGCACCCATACAGGGTTTGACTCAACTCCCAGCTGCTACAGTTCCACTCCAGCTCCTTGCTGCTGCACCTGGGAAGGCAACAAAAGATGGCCCAGATGCTTGGGCCCCTGCACCCAAATGGAGAAACCTAAAAAAGCACCCCTCGTCCCTCTCTCCATATATATGTGTGTTGGATATTTATATATATATATATGTATATATATATATATAGCATATATAATACACATATATATATCTCCACTTTTCAAGTAAATAAACCTTTTATTTTTAAAAACTGAGAATGTCTCTGCAAAAGATTGTTTAAGAAATGGAAAAGCAAATTGAGACTGGGAGAAATATTTGCAAACTACTAAACATGTAAGGAATTCTTGATACTCAGTAATAAAATCTAATTAAGATATATATGAAAGATTTAAACAGATATCTTACCAAATAAGCAATTTTTAAAAAAAAAACAGCAATTAAAATCACAGTGAAATATCACTAAAAATCTGCTGAAACTGTTAAAATTAAGAAGACTGATTAAATAAAGATTTAGTAAAAATGGGGGGATCCCCACACTGCTAATGAGAACGTAAAATGATACACCTTCCTTATAAATCAGAGTTTTAACCCTGGGAAAAGAAAGGGCAGATTTATACAAAGAGTTATGTGAATAACTGTGTGTCAATTACATTTGCAGACACTGTAAGGTGGAAATAACCCAAAATCCACCAGGTGAATGAATAAGCAGACTGCAGCATACAAATGTAACAGTATACTGATTGGCAACTAAAAGAACCGAACTATGGGTCCGCACAGCGTGGATGAATACCAGATTAACCGTGACAAGTGAAAGCGGCCAAGCCCAAAAGAAAAACAAGGCGCAGAGTGCAAGCAAGCTGTGCCATTTCATTCGCCTAACTTGGAAATTCCCTGACAATTTCTCTTGCACCCTGTCAGTCCTGCTCCCCTGGGATAGAAATGACACACACTGATTTTTAACCCCTTCCTGCAACACGTTCTGCATTCTTACAAGTTTGTGCTTCAGTTTGACAGTGCTCCATCCCCCCATCTTTCTGCACTTCCGATGCACTCAGCCAACTGCTAAGCTCACATATTGCTCCCCTGGTTAGCTCTTCTCACAAATTCTGCTTCTGGGCTGAATCGCACCCCTACTTTGCTGTCTTCACCCAGGCTGCCCACCGGGGCTTCACCCAGGTGTAACACCGTGGAGTCCGTGGCTCAGACACACAAAACCTCCTTCCCACAGCTGTCTGAGATCGGCATGCGGCCCTGGGGGCCTGCGACAGGCTCTCTCCCTGGTGTCCACAAAACTGCCTTCTTTCCATGTGCAGAAGCTTCTAGTCTATCTTCCTAATTTAAAACAAAACTCTTAAAATCCCAATCTACATAATCAGTCATTTGTTCTAATCCTTTAATAGTTACCATTGTATGGCCTGGTATTGGCAGGAGGGGAAGATTATTTTCTGCTTGTTTTTATCTGATTTTTTTTAAAGATTTATTTTTATTATTTTTTTATTGGAAAGGCGGATATACAGAGAGGAGAGAAAGAGAGGAATGTCTTCCATCCGATGATTCACTCCCCAAGTGAGCGCAACAGGCCGATACTATGCCCATCCGAAGCCAGGAGCCTCTTTCGGGTCTCCCACACGGGTGCAGGGTCCCAAAGCTTTGGGCCGTCCTTGACTGCTTTCCCGGGCCACAGGCAGGGAGCTGGAAGGGAAGCGGGGCTGCCAGGATAGAACCGGCGCCCATATGGGATCCCGGGCGTGCAAGGCGAGGTCCTTAACCACTGCGCCACCGCGCCGGGCCCGTTTTTATCTGATTTTAAACTCTTACTCTCAAATGTATATATTTGCTTTCTATTTATTTTAAATGTGTGTATATTTGTATATATACATATTTGTTTTTATTTACTTATTTATTTTTACTGATTCGCAAAGCATGCACACAGTTCCCACAGTCGTGGTCAGAGCTGTGCTAAACCCAATCCTGGTCTCCCACGTGCGTGGCAGGACCCCACTGGCTTGAGCCATCACCACTTCTCCCAGCATCTGCTCTAGCAGGGAAACTGGGGTCCTCAGCTGGAAGCAGAGATACAGTCTGGGCACTGTGCATGGGATGCAGTTGTCCTACACTC